GATGCGGGACTCGATCCCGGGACTCCAGGATCATGACCTGAGCCGAAGGCAGTCACTTAACCGACTGAGCCACCCAGGCGCCCCAGACTGCTAAGGTTTTGAGTTTCGTCTCGCTGTGCTCTCGGGCTGTCGCCCCGGACAGCATGCTTGCCTCTGGCACTGTCCTCCTCCTTCAATTCTGCCAGGGGCCGGGAAACAAGATAATAAGGTGTGTTTGACTCGGGGGTAAAGCAAGGTGGAGCACTGAAGGCTCTGGGATGGAGAAAACACCCAGCAACAGCAGTGAAGACGAAAATTCTTGTATCGCGGCTCAGAGGCCGTCTTACTTCATGCTGAGGGGAGGGCAAGAGCTAGAGCAGCTGATGCCGCCACAGGAGGACCTCCTGGGGCGGTGCCCTCTGAGAGGGTGCGTGGGGGACGCCGTGCAGCGATGCTGGGTAACTGTCCGCTGCCCCCTTGGCCAAGAACGCGCCTATAGAACACACGTCCAAGCAGGAAGACATAAGGACAAGGTGAGAACTAGTGCAATGCGTGTCTGCGTGCCACACGCTTTCCTCCACACATGGTATCCGGGCCCTCGTCCAGGCCAGGCCCACCTGCAGGCACTGGAGCGTGGAACATGACCAACAGGCTCGCAGGCTTCATGGAGCTTAGCTCTCAGGCAGGGAGACAGGCAATAGACAAACGCCCACACAGACACACAAGTCTGAGAGTGATGGAGAAAAGGCAAGAAGAAGAAGAGAGAAAGAGTGGTCAGGGACAGCCTCTGAGAAGGTGACATTTAGGTGGATGTCTGAAGAAGAGACTCAGCAGAAATCGGGGGCAATGGTGCTCCCAGTCGAGGGAACAGCAAGCGTGTCAGCAGGAGGGCCAGGAGGCCCGTGTGGTTCGGGGAGAGTGGGTGACGGGGAAAATGGTGGGCCAGGGGCCTACTCTAACTTGAGACTGGACTCTGTGTGAGAAGGGAAGCCTGGACGAGTTCTGAGTCAAGTGGTGATAATGAGCAAACAGGTTTTAACAGCATCCCTCTGGTATGGACACAGGCAAGAGTGGAGGCCGAGAGACCGGTGAGAGAGGCTACAGCAAGCCAGGTGAGAGAGGGTTGTGGCCTGGAGGTGGGGCAAGAGGCCAGATACGGGCATTTTAGGGTAGAGTCTTGAGGCGCTTGTTGAGGGAGAAGAATCAAGGAAGACTCCCAAGTGTTGAGTCAGAGCACTTAACAGAATACAGCGGTCACTCAGTGAGGCTGGGCAGACCCGGAGAGGAGATGTGGAGGACCCCACTAAGGGATACTATTAGACCACCGGGCAGAGGGGCAAGTCAACAGCTGGTTGGTGAAGCAGGTCTGGAGTCAGGAGAGATAGGAGCTGAGGAGACGCATTCTGGAATCTTTAGAATACAGACCGTTAAACAGATGAGATCACCCAGCAGTGACTTTGAGCTGGGGCATCAGGCCGTGTGTGGGAGCGCTTCTGGCTGCCTGACAGGGCTCGGGGTAGGAGGGTACATCACTGGCCCGAGATGTTAAATGTCCTGCCACGTCGGTGCAGTCTCTCGTAATAACGAACTATTGCTACGGCAAAATTCCGCTGCACTCAGGATTCCAACTAGCACGCTCGCTGAGAGACAGCAACCTCAGCCACGGGCGTGGGGAGAGAAGGGGAGAACCTGAGGGCCGAGCAGTGGCGTCCTCCAGCATTCAGACGACGGGCCGTGGGAGGAGCAGGCACGGAGCGGGATGGCAGAAAGTGACTTCAAGGTCAAATGGACATGACGTCGGGAATAGCACTTGCTTGAAAGGATGATTTATGCTGTCTTCTCATCCATGAGCAAGGAAAAGTCAATAGGAATTGTTCGGCTATCTCATAAGCAAATGCTAGCAAGCACAGACTGTGAATGAGATAATGTGCCACAGACCAGTATCCCTCCATCTCCGACATTAGCTCGGCTGAGATGAGCATCTCGAGCAACATAAAGTGGGCGCTACAGAAGTAGAGAGAAAGGTGAAGATCTGCAGCCGCACTGACTGGGGTAGTCCAACCATGAGGGACTACTTGGACAAGACTTGACTCAAAGAATGGGTAGGATTTTAATATATAAGAATGGAATGTAGAGAATTGTGGACAGAGGGAATGTCTCAAGGCACATGAAACAACAGAAGCTACCCAGTCCTGAGCTACATGGTGACATCTACCGTTCCTCCTCATTGCTCTTCTGCAAAGCAGGGATCGTCTCTGGTTTGTGGACAAGGAAACAGAGATTAAGGAACTCTGAAGGCATGGCAGTGTCTGTTCTCAAACCCAGGTGCCCTCGACTTCACAAAGCTGGAGCTCCTTCAACTGGCCTCACCTGTTTCCCAGCCTGTTCTGCAAGGGCCTGGGGACCGGTCCGTATTGGAGCCAACAGACCGGAATGGGAGGTAAGCTTGGAAGGATCTCTTAGAGCTACCGTAGGGGGGGCCATGGAGCGTCAAGTCTGAGCTACCTCCCGCCTGTGCGACATGGGGAGGTGCGGGAGGGAAGTTTTGGAGGCACAGGAGCAAAACAGTTTAGCAGGTGTGTAGACGTGAATACGAGGGTAGAGGGCAGGCTGGACTCGGACAGGCGCCAGGGCAGTGCCAGGGACAAAGAGGACAACCACTGCATCATCTCAAGAATACGACGAGAGGGGTTCTAGCAGTGTGGCAGCCTGGACTCGGGAAATCCAGCATTCACGGGCCCTGGGCAAAGCCCCCGGGGGGTTTCAGTCTGTGGTGTAAGCACGTTAGCTACAGCAAGATGGAAACTTCTCATCAAAGCTGCCTGAATACTTGGAATGAAAACCTTTCCTAAATGGGCTTTCATATGTGCTTACCTTATCTTAAGCATTAGAAGCTCGACAGCATTTTCGTTTTGAGGATGCTACTGCTAGTCAAGAAAAAACAGTCCTCCCTACTTTTCCACGAGAACTCTTTTTGGAAAGCAGTTCTGATTCTGGGCCTGAGAACACCAGGCACAGAACGAACCAATGTATGAAGTCACCCGTAGCTGTCGAGGGCTAAGTAACTGATCAGAGACCCATCTACACGGCGGCAAGAAATGTCAGAAAAGCGTGTCAGTGTGCTGTCACTGGTACAGCATGAATTTCTCACGGAACCTGGCAAAACAGCCCTCTCTTCCATTAATTACTGAACATAAAAACCAAGATCAACTGGAAGGAAAAAACCCACCAGAATCCTGCATGAGTCACAGAGTTGTCTGAAGATCACATGAGCAAACCAAATGCCTCTCTGGCACCGCATTCTAGAGATTTCCTTCCTACTTTCATAAATTGACACCAACACATTCAGATAATAAAAGCTCTTCTCCAAAAAAGCCCTTTGAAATTAAAAGGGCAAGAAAGTTTTCAGGACACATTTTGAAAGACTTCTCAACTCATTTCTTAGCTTTAGATCAGGTGTCTAAGCTTACTCCTACCCCAAACCTGGGATGTAACTTCATGGAAGCCCACAGGTGGGAGGTGACAAGCAGTGACAAGTCAGTCACAGCTATGTCACCAGGGCCCACAGATGTGGCCCCGAAGCAGAGCTCTGCCCGGGGCGAACGGCAGCTTCCCCGCCACAGCTGTCCCACTATGTCCTCACCCGGGGCAGCTGGTCCCACTGTTCTTTGTTCTTCATCTCTTCTTGCACTTCGTGGATTCGCTTCAGAGACTCCAGACTTTCATCGAGCAAAAACGTCGTGTCATTTATCAGCATGTTTATATAGCGAACAAACTGCTTCCCCGAACTGAAAAGGCAATTACATTGGACATGGTCATACAGCTCCCTGAGGCAAAATGCCGCAGCAGATCCCAAAGAAAATGGGCCCCCGCCCAAAGTGCCAACCACGTCGTCCTGTAAGACCGCCCACCTTGGCACCACTCAAGTACTGCGGAGGTCAAGGACTATGGAGTTTCTCCTTGGATTTTGTTCCTCCTTTGAAGTAAGTGTGATAAGCCCACTTCAGCGGTGCAATGGAGGTACCCTGCACAATTTATGAGAGCCAATTGCTAATACTTCAGGATTTTGTGAGCAGATTCCCTTGAGAGCTTAAATTTGGCACCAGTGGAAGTATTTACATCCCGCTTCTCGGCCTTTTGGCTAAGATCAAGTGTGGAAAACCAGCAAATGCTGAATTTTCTCCCCTTCTTCAGAGAGCAGGTTTACCAACACGTCCCTGGCTCATTCTCTCAATGACTTTAAGTAGAAAAGACACTCTTCCAGACTAGAAAATATGCTTAAACTCACCAAGATACAAAGAAAGCACAATTACCCACATATAAGAGACAAGAGAATTACCAATACAGTGATTCCTCATTATAAAGACACACTGAAGAAAAGCTGGAAGCTGCAATATTGATAAAGGAGAATATTAACTCACTTTCTAGAACCTGAAGCTTCCCATCTATAAAACTGTCCTGCACATCCTGTTACAGTGCAGGGCTCGCTTGGGCACTGAGATGCCGGCGCACCGTTAGGCTTTGTAACTGCAAGATTAGTGGAGCAAAGAGGAGCTACATACACTTTAGGATCTACTGCTGTGTAATCAGGGGGCGGGAAGCCCGTGCCTGGGGAGGAGAAGTTCCTGTGAACAAGGGTGGGAAGCTTAGATTTCAGGAACAAGGAAAGTTCAGGGCAAGCACTCCCACTCAGCACCACGCAGATCAAGCCATGGGCCTGTCTGGTCTAAGCTCATGCCAGGGTTTGTGGGAACATAATTCCGACCATAAGAGCAACTTCTGGAAAGAGAATTAACTTGAAGAGTCTACTCTGCAGAAACCTATCTAGCAAATGGTAATATGAAATCTTATTGACTAGTAACTCAGCTAACAAGTGACAGCTAGACTTGATCAGTGATCTAACATGGGTTGCAAAAGATCCAAGCAGATGGGATAAAATTTCTCCTGAAGAATAATTCAAGAGTTCAACATTTTCATCTCCCTTTTTTTTTTTTTTTTTAAAGATTTTATTTATTTATTTGACAGAGAGAGACACAGCGAGAGAGGGAAACAAGCAGGAGGAGTGGGAGAGGGAGAAGCAGGCTTCCCGTGGAGCAGGGAGCCCGATGCGGGGCTCGATCCCAGGACCCTGGGATCATGACCTGAGCTGAAGGCAGACGCTTAACGACTGAGCCACCCAGGCGCCCCAGTCTCCCTTCTTTTTAAAGCACCTTTCCTTTTAAAGTAACTTAGATGAAATGACTAATGTCCAGATTTAGGTAGCCACTAAAATTTCAGGTAGGTAACAAAAAGTCCTTAATCAAGGTTTAGGGACTTATTACAAAGAGTGACATCTGAAATGACAACCCCAACCTAACCGCTTCCAAATCTGAAATCTTCCTAACACTTTGCATCTAAAGCTTGACATCATGTTCCAGAACACTTTATGCTCTCATTCCAGTCATTCTGACAACTTCACTTAACACTGTAATCGCAGAAACACCCAAAAACACTTCACGGATCATCTCGGAATATTTATAGATTCTTTATGTATACATACCATCCCCAAAGTGTCTTGACAAAACTAAAGTTCAGCAATACCTCGCAAGCACAGACATTTAGTTAACTCTGCTCACATGTAGCAGGACCATCTAGAAAACTTAAAGGAGGCTGCGACCAAGCCAACAGTCCAGGAGAATCAGCTCGGAAAGATTTAAGCAGTCACCCTACCTGTGATTTGCAAGAGGGCAAGCTGTGACATCGGGCGCCCGATACTCACTTGAACTCCTCCATGAAGGTGCCATGGTGAGCTATGTTTTGCCAAAGGCTTTTAAAAATGGTGCTAATGTGATAGCGAATGGTGAACTTGTCGTAGAACTCACTGGTGGCTCCGGTGTGCTCAACATCTAGAGAAGAGAGAAGGATGGGTACTGCCTTACCTTTCTAAACGCAGTTACTGCGTCCACGATGTTACTGAGCGAATACAAATCTGTAAACTCAGAGATGTGATAAGATCGTGCACCTCTCTCTCACATGTAAGGCAGGACAGAAATCAGGAGGTGGTTCTGAAGACACAAGCTTCACAGTGAAGGGCCGGGAATGACACGCCAAATGAACTGGGCTCGGAAAGCAGCTGGCCTCATCGGCACAGCTCCCACCCGCCAATGACCAGAAAAAAAAACTGGGTTGAATTTTCTTAAGGTCCACATACCTATTAAATGTGACTACAGGCCTACTTCATTTTATTGCGCTTCATAGATACTGTGGGTTTTTGTTTTTTTTTTTAATTACAAATTGAAGGTTTGTGGCAACTGTGCATTGAGCAAGTCTATCAGCCCCATTTTCCCAACAGCATTTGCTCACTTCATGTCTCTGTGTCACATCTTGGTAATTCCCACAATATTTCAAACTTGTTCATTATGATCATATTTGTTATGGTGATCTGTGATCAGGGATTATGACTCACTGAAAGCTCAGATGATAGCATTTTTGGCAATAAAATATTTTTATTTTTATTTATTTATTTAAAAGATTTTATTTGGGGCGCCTGGGTGGCTCAGTTGTTAAGCGTCTGTCTTCGGCTCAGGTCATGATCCCAGGGTCCTGGGATCGAGCCCCGCATCGGGCTCCCTG